AACATTACACTAGGAATCATACACGAATTGCTAACTACACTTTCAGCAGGAGGCGGAACCTGGAAGAGCAAGTTGAAGATAGAAAGATGGCTGCCCCATGGCAAAGAACATCAGGGTCTGAAAGACAAGCTTTTGGCTCTTTCTTAGCTTTGACATGTCATGCCCTCTCTCTGTTGGAAGATGAATGGAATAACAGTGCTGAACATGAATGTTTATACCCTATGACACCCACTTTCTCAGAACTTGGAGCTGGGTTTGAGTTCTGGCTCTAGCAATCACTTCTGTGTGGTGTTGGGTAAAGTGCTTAAGTGTTTCCTACCATAGATTTTCTGATATTTGGATGAGGGTGGGCAGTGATGCTTACTGGAACCAATGGGTGATAATTAAATGACATAGTGCCCGTACAGTCCTCAGTAAATATCAGCTACTACAATTAGGCTCTAGGTCCCACCTAGAAGAACATTTTGGACATGTTCAAAGCTTATGTAGAAGGTAACAGAAACCAACTCACCTACATTAGGGTAAGAGGTGATCAGCTGTTCATTCTGAAGCCAAGCTGCTTACTTTCAGAGCTTATAAAAATGTCTCAGGTTCTTGCCATAGGATATTTGGAGAGGGTTAAAGAATAAAACAAAGCTATCTGAGTTACCATGGATGCATAATTAAAGATTAGTGAGCTTAAGGAAATTTTGAAATTCTGAGACAATTTTGTCATAAAATGCTTTTTTTCCCCCCAGTTCCTCAGAGAAGGGACTTTGTATTCACCCTCTGCTTTCGTCGTTGGCATTCTGCCTTTATTTGATGATGGAGGGAAATAGACAGCGATAATACTGTTGAGTTCCAGGTTGGTGCTAAAGAGGAGAGGCTGGAAATGCAAGACAAGGAGGAAGGAAGCATGAAGGGGTTTCTAGGCTTAAGGACACAGCTGAGGGTTAGAATCAGATAGGTATACAGACTTTTCTCTTTTGCGGAGAAGTCCTAGAATGTGCATGGTCCCTTGTGGTAGGTCAGGCCATTGCTTGTCTCTTGTGTTGGACAGAACAGTTGTCTGGAGTCTGCAGGAGCTTATGTTCCACCACACCTTGAAGGGGCTTTCCTACTTCAAAAGGGGCCTTCATCTAATGTTTCCTACGTGTTGAAGGTGTTCAGTGGGCCCAGAATTTGTGGATTCAAGGGGATTCCCTGAAATCTCAGAGTGAGAGGTATCTGGATCATAATCTTCCTTTATGATATTTTTGTCTGAATTCGAAGCCTATAACCCTTTCTCAGTTGTCCTGGGATTCACTTTGCTGGGGCTGGGGCATACTGATTTCACTCTATATCCAAATCAACCCTTTATAAACCAGATGTTCAGCTCACATGGCTCTCAGACAGGATTCAAGTACTGCTCTGCTTTCCCGATCCAATCTCCCACCCGTATAGTATGCAGAAGTGTGTGCCTCGTTTTCTGGGATGAAAATCAGCAGTAATGACCTAAGTGCTACCTCTGGTTTCATTCTTTGCTCTCCCGGGGCTGAAATTTGAACTTTTCTGTTTCCAGGCAGAGAGCGACACCACCGTGGGTTGACCTTTTCTGAGTACCATGAAAAATGATACACACAGGGCTATTCTGGAAACCAGTGGACCCCAGTGCCAAGGGGGGCTGCTCCACTGTGCTGGCCATCCACGTGAGGTTCTACACTCAGTCAGCCCAGGCTGACATCAGGAAGCAGTGCGGCATAGGAGAAGGAGCAAGAGGGTTTTAGTTAGAAAGCTTGGGTTCAAAGCCAACTCTGCCCTACATACGGAACGATCTCAGTGAGTCAGTTAACTTTCTTGGGTCTCAATTTCTCTATCCATGAAATAGAGCCAATAATTCATAACTTCCAGGCTTATAGAGAGAATTTTATGAGAAGCCACAGATAAACCTTCTATCATGTATGTCATACATAGTCAGCCTTTAATTTTCACTATTTTATGTTCCTGTGTGTGTTTTTATCACAAGGGGATTCTGTATTTAGTGCCAACCAAATGTTTGTAACCTACTTTCTGCTTTTCAAATTGAAGTGGCTTCAGTGTGGAGGATCTTGTGTTTTAGCCAGTTGGGTGTTTTTTTTCCATAAGAAAGCATGGCTTGTGTCTAGAGAAATCCAAGGAGAGAAGAGAAGAGGTGTGCTTAGTTAATAGTAAGTATTAGAAGGGGCAGGATTAAGGGGGATATGTTTTTCATTCTGTCAGCTTGAATTCCCTTTCCAAATTCCATTCTGGTTATATGATCAGGCTACTGCTGTATTTATGGGTGGCCACAGTCTGCCTGGAGGGGCATATTTAGTCAGAAAGGAAGTTTGTTTTCCTTCTACAGGCAGTGCAAGAAACAGAAGCATTTGAAAGGAACACAGTAGAATGTGCCTCTGAGTTGATGATCGTGGGGACCTGGGTCTGAAACCTGGCTCCATCACTCTAGGTGTGAAGACTCTGGAGAATTTGCTCCATTTCTCTGCTCTCCAAGCCATCTCCTTTGCCAGTAGGCACAGAGATACACTGTGGATGTTTAGGGAGAGGGTGCCCATGGAAGGCCAACTCATTACAGAGTAGGCTCAGCATACATTTTGGCTAATGTTACTGTTAAAATTCATTAGAACAATCAGGCTCTGTTAAGCTGTTTTATACTACTTACAAACATTTTTATCTGTTGTAGAATTTGGGAAATGGCTCTCACTCCCTTTAGAGATGCTGACAAAGAGAAACAAAAAAACCTTGCTCAGTGCAGAATTGCAGCTGAAGTGCATGTCACCTCACTTCATGGTTTGTAACTACAATGTAACACAGGCTGAGCATGATACTGTGAGGTTTGGACTCTCTGATTCCATTTTAATAAAAGCAGCCCCACCTCTACCTGTCATAGACTAGGATTTTGCATTACATTATTGGTATGAATATTTCCCTTATTAAACTTAAGTTTGAAAATCATTGTTTTAGAACATTAACCCTGGACAGATCCTTATAAATTCATCAGCAGAAAAGCTGAGAAACCTTCTTCTATTGACCCTTTATAGTGTGCCAAGTATAGTGTCAAAAGTGTGCCACTTAAGATCTCATTTAAACACCCCAAGAGCCCTGAGTGGTACAGATTGTCATCCTCTTTACATGGATTACAGAGCCAAGGGTTGTGGATCCAGTACCTTCTTGGGAAGGGGGTGAGGGATTAGTGGCACATGAGGTAGTGAAGCTGAGTTTTTAACACAAGTACAGAGGGAAAATACTTAATGACCACAGAGCCTGAGGACTTCCTTTTCAATCCTATCCAATCACACAGTTTGAGCAAACCAGAGCATTTTCTTATTCTGGACCCACTCCTTCCCCCGGACACCTTCAGGTCACCTCCTGAAGTGCACAGAACCGGAGCACACCGACTTACATCCCCTGCAAATGGCTCAGATGCTCGTGATGCCAGAAAACTTCCCACTGGTTTATTTAGGGGAGGAAGCCTTCCCTTAGTCCTGCATGGGGCTTCCCATATCCCAGGACAAGACCGGGAAACTAGCTGGGGTGGGTGAGAGTTTTCATTTCTAAAGCGCATATGGGAAAGTGTCATCTAAAAAGGGAAAACGGGCTTAGAAAAACGTGAAAAAGAGGCACTCATTCTTCTTCCAGTCCTGCATTTCTTGAGAGCCCTCAGCAGCACCAGCATCGCACCTTATAGCCTGTAGCTCTGGGATCTGCAAGTGCCTAAATGCGAAACCTTCTGGCACTGTGGATTCAAAACTCAACAGTTCTGTGCAGCCCGGGCTGCCACCTCTCCTCCCAACCTGTGCCAACACAACCTCCTGCTTGTAGATGCAGCCAAGTCTCCAAGTTGCCTGGCTAGTGAGCCACACTGACAGGGCGCCATAAAAGGGGGGGGGGGGGGCTGGGGGAGTGAGAAACGCACAAGAAGCAATTCAAGATTGGCTAAGCGCCTCTTTTAACTTCCAGAGTAAGGGCAGATTTTGGCAATGGCTGTGATTATCCAAACTTCCCCTTATTAAGCACTCACTGACAACCTCTTTATACTTAATTTTCTCTTTATATGACAACAGACTAATTGTCCCCATTTTAAAGAAGTGCAAACTGAGGCTCAGCCAGTTTACATATTTTTCTCAGGGTTCTATTCCCGGTGCTGGTGGGGATACCAGTTACCTCTGGCTTTAAGGCTTGAGTTCCTAATCCCCTTCCAGCACCCATTGATGAGAGGAATCCCTGTGTTCCTTCCAAAATCCAAGGGAAAGAAGCTTCTCATATGGAGTGGGGTGGGAGGTGAGGAGGGGGAGGCGAGATTAAGGTGTAGCACTGGCTCAGTGCACCCCAAACTTGCGTCTGTCTGTAGCCTGCTGGAGGATCAGGAAATCGGGAGGTGTCCACAAGAAGCTCCCTGCCTTTAGGAACTGCCATTCAGCTGGCAGGCTGGAGTTTCGCATCTGGCCCCGGGAGTCACCTCATCTCTCCTGTCCCAAACTCTCATCTCTGTTGGTGACCCAGAACAGGGTGGATACTGTGAGCATCGAGTCAGAGAACAGGTACAAAACTCCTTGTAAACTATGCAAGCTGTTTAGATCTAAAATGTGTTGTCTTCCCCACGCTCTTCTAACAGTCGTTCCCTAATGCACCCCGGTGCACCCCGGAGAAAGGCACATTAGGAGCAAACGCTGCTTCCCTGACCCTCCAAGAAAAATATCCACAGGTGAATCAGCTTGGCAGGGAGTTAGAGAAATCCCGACTTCTGCTCTACAGAACGACAGAGATCAAAACTTGACAAAAAGTTCCTCTCTGGTGTGACTTGTCACTGGGTGAAAACCAACAGACAAAATCCAAGACTGGACAGGACAACGTCAAGGTGTATCACGATCATTAGCAACCCATAGCCCCTTTGGGCAGCGGAGAAAATAAAGCAGAGGTTTTATAATGAGACCCACAACCCATAAATGTGCCTGGAGTACAGTCTACCATTCCCCTCTTCTGTGATGAGGGAGAAGCTGACTTACCTTTCCGGAGGAGTAGGAGAGACCTAGATCCTGGCATGCCGCAGTTCCAAGGAATAAGTACCTGGCTGTGAGCAGCGGCAGGGTTCCCTCGTGTGCAGTCCCCCAGCGGCCCCCCAGTCACGCTGTCTTTGTGCCGACCAGAGGCGTGCCCGCGTGTCTGCCCGGGAGAGGCTGGCGTGTGGCACTAGACAGGTTGTGGCCAGAGCAGCCAGCTTTGGCTGGCTTATATAGCCCGCTCCTTCCTCCGTAATGGGACGCCTCGCCTCCAGACATCCTTTCCCACTTTTTCAGTTGGTGAATTAAAGGAACAGCCCTCCCAGCGGAACAGGGTTAGCTCATGAAAGACACACTCCCTCCAGGCTTTCAGCCAGGGAAAGAACCTATTTGCATACAATTTATGGCGAAAGGAGGAATTCCAGTTTCCCCCGCCCCCGACTTCGGGTAGCTGTTAGTGATGTGTGATTTTTGCTGTGCTCCCCAAACGGGGTTTTCTAATTGTGAAACAGAAGTCCGGGGAGCGAGCCGGAGGGAGCGGGATTAGCAGCCCTGGCTCGGAGACTCCCGGCAAGTTTCAAACTCCGCTGGGCTCGCCTGGGCTCTGGGCAGCAGCTGCTCTGTGGCACCTCAGAGACATCAGAGTTCCTGGAAAGAGCAGATAAAGCCCTTCAAAAGCCCAGGGCGTTTCAGGTTTCTCTGGGCCAGGATTAGTTCTCAGCAGGTGGGAACCGCGGGGTGCCCAGATCAGTCCTGCTAGTCTCAAGTGGGAGCCAGCCTTGCCCAGCTGCCTGGAGGAGTCTTTGTTCCCACCCCAGAGTCCTACTGGGGAGCAGCTTCTTGACATTGTTCCAGCCTAGTGCTAGGCACGGACTTCTCAGCAGGATTCCTTACAGGAAAAGGTACCAACTTAATTTTTGAGCCACAAACTGAGCCGTTGCTTCCCAGCCACTGTGGATTGTTTCCCAGCTCTGAGTCATGCATTCAGTTCCTTTGGTGGTTAGCATGCATTGAACACAGGGCATTAGAGGGAGTGGGGAAGGAGTGCAACACCCACAATGGAGGGACTTCTAAGCTGGTTGTGGCACAAAGGAGTTGGTGGTGGCAAAGGGAAAGGAAGCACCTTGTCACCCGAAGCTCCCACTGAGCCCTCCTTTATCAGGACTGTGTTAGGTGCTGTGCAAGAGACTCTTGAACACGATTCATTGTATCTTTGCAACCACCAGGTATGGAGTATGCAAGTGTCCCCTTTTTACAGATGCTAAAACTGAGGTTTAAAGATTTATTTATTTATTTGAAAGGCAGAGTTACAGAGAGGCAGAGGCAGGGGGAGAGGTCTTCCATCCACTGGGTCACTTCCCAGATGGCGGCAATGGCCAGAGCTGTGCCTATTCAAAGCCAGGAGCCAGGAGCTTCTTCTGGGTCTCCCATGTGGGTGCAGGGGCCCAAGGACTTGGACCATTTTCCACTGCTTTCCCAGGCTATAGCAGAGAGCTGGATTGGAAGTGGAGCAGCCGGGACTAGACTGGTGCCCATATGGGATTCTGGCACTGCAGGCAGCTGCGTTACCATTTATGCCACAGCGCCGGCCCCAAAAACTGAAGTTTAGAGAAATAATTTGACTATGACTTCACTGGGGAGCATTCAGCTTTCCACCTCATGCTCTGTAGTTGCTTCCATTGCATACAATTATCTAGGAGGATTGTGATATTTGAAGGCTTTTACATCCTGTTACTTTTACATCCTGTTAGAATGTTACAGCATTTGTACAAAAATCACTGCCATACATGAATATGGAAAATACCAATTTTTATTCTGCCGAGCTTAAATTAGGAGAGATCTTTAATATGTTCAATTAGCTGCTAATGAAAGAGATTTCAATTATGCACTGATTTTCAATACTAAATGATAACATCCCTACAGTTATTATTGCTGTGGTCTCAGTTTCCCCACCAGAAAACAGCACGATAGAATTAGGTCATTTTGATGGTGTCTGCTCTGGCATTCTAGGATTCTTTGTTAATGCAGCCCTCCCAGACAGTGAGAAAGCCCATAAATAGCCATGTCATAAAGCAGCTCATTTGAACTTTTAAAACATTGTGGCTGAATCAAATGTTGATTGTTTTGGAAGTTTTTAATTCAGTGCTTTTGCCAAAGCATATTTTAGTAGCATGAGGCTGTGTCTTTCAACTGCTCCCAGGCCTCTTTGTTTTCCTGTGTCCTCTGACTTTATCTTCAGGGTGAGGGAATAAAATGTTAATGTATGATGCATGTCATATGGCATAGAAACTGTATTTACATATCCCAAATAATATATGCTTTTAATTATGTATGTTTAAATAAGACCATTGAGCATGCTAGAAAGCTGGATGATGAATATGGCTTCTGCTGGAAATATTCCAAATCCAAACCTTCTCCCTCCTCCCCAAAACTCCCCCACAAGGTTAATATCCTACAGCCGTTGATTAGTGTCTACTACAATTGGCTTAGCCAATCACAGGGAAAATAAAACCATATATGAGCAGGCTGGCCCTCATTAAAGAAACAGGCTAGTGGAGCTCACCAGCATATTATTATCATGCATTAAGTTCACAGCTATCATAGAAATATTGGCTAATAATACAGAGGGGTGGTTAGCTTTGTGCATCTTTAGGAGAGACTACTTGTTTTCTTTTTTAACTTTTATTTAATAAATATAAATTTCCAAAGTACAACTTTCGGATTATAGCAGCTTTTTCCCCCCATAACCTCCCTCCCAACTGCAACCATCCCATCTCACACCTTCTCACCCATCCATTCACATATTAATTTTCAATTATTTATATATACAGAAGATCAGTTTAGTATATACTAAGTAAAGATTTCAACAGTTTGCACCCACACAGAAACACAAAGTATAAAATACTGTTTGAGTACTAGTTATGCCATTAATTCACATAGTACAACACATTAAGGACAGAGATCCTGCATGGGGAGTAAGTGGACAGTGACTCCTGTTGTTGATTTAACAATTGACACTCTTGTTTATGACGTCAGTGATCACCCGAGGCTCTTGTCATGAGCTGCCAAGGCTATGGAAGCCTCTTGAGTTCGCCAAAATAGAGGCTACTTGTAAAGGGAGTTTGTTCCAAAAACTGCATGGTATCCTGAGCCACACCTTGGCGTTTGAACAAGCAGGGTCTAGGCAAGGACTTGTTTTCCACCCGCCAACCTTTTGCAACCTCTTCTCCAGGCAAATAAGTCTGCACATGCCATGGACTCTCCTCTCTCTGCACCTTGGATCATGCTGCCCTTCTCGTAGAATCCTTGCCTCTGTCTCCTTGCATCTCCTGCTCAGTCAGTTCTGATCTGTCTGCACTGTGGAGCTCCCTTGATGGATTTCTTTTGCAAGACAAGCCTCCAGTATGCCACTCTGTTAAGACAGTCATCACTTCCACAAGGTATTATATATGTGCCCATCTAGATATTTTCCTCCAAGACTCTAGATTTCCTGTTTAGTGACCATGCTTGCTTTTTCTGTGTCTAGCAAGGGTCTTTGGCTTTGTAGAAGCTCAGTAGGTGTTAGCTGAGTGAATGAAATAGTGGAGGTACACATAAATGTTTGGCAAGTTGTGTTTTATGACTTTCTTCCTTTTTCACCCATAAAACCTAAGAAGAAGATTGGATTATTGTGTCCAATACAGTCATTGCGCAGAGAGGAGAAATGATTTCCAGGGCCTGTAAGGTTACAGTCCCTAGATGGGGCCATCCAGGTCGGAGTTGAGCAATCAACCTATACCAGACATTACAGCAGAGGTGTTTATGGAAATTAATAACCATTCGTCCTCCTGTTTGGCAGAAGTTGTCACCCCTCTAGGCATCTGCTCTCTCGTGGTTGTATCCTCCTCTGTACTATAAGCACTTTTTTTTCCCATGTGAAAGGGCAAAGTGAATGCTTGTAAACACACCTCTGCACAGAGCTCCCTGCCAAGCCCTGATGTTGTGATTGCTTGTTAGCACTTCTCATTCATGAGTTCTTGGTGGAAGCTGTGGTTTGGAGGCCAGAGGGAGCCTTGGGGTTGCCTCAGGTGAGATCATCCTCATTTCCCAAAGCTTAACTGCAATATATCCCCGTCCCCCACATCTCCCGCAGTGGGACCCACCAGCTGATGGAATATTGGTCAAGACTAGTCCTATCTGGAGAAGCTGAGAGTCCATTTCTCCATAGGATCCCTTGCTTTCCACTCCAATTATTTACTCCTTCCCTGTTCCCAACCCTCTCCTCTTCATGGGATTCATCTAGTGTGCCAACTCCTCTCCAAATGCTCCATGTGACTCTAATTGCCAGGAATCTCTTCCCAGTGAGGAAGGAGCTCTGCTCCAGTGCTAGGGGCTAGTGATTCAATGAGATGTATTGCTTAGCGTAAAGTCTTCCTCACTTGTTAGCTGCAGATCCTGGTTGAGGGCTCTTCTTTTCCATCTCCTCTCACTTTTTCTTAGATAGCAAACACAACAAAAAAACTAAGGCTTGATTGAATGAATGGCAAAACAGATGGGAACTTCCCTGCCTGATGGAACAGGACAAATCAGCTCTAACATCAAGCACTTGAGTGGATTGTCTGGACAACACAGCAGAGAAGAAAGAGATTTGATGGGGGAATAAGCTTGAGTTTTGATGCTGTACCACCTTACTGTTTGACTTTGGGCAAAACCTTCTGTTTCCTGGCCCTCAGTGTCATGGGTGCCAAATGGATGACTCCCAAGGATCTAAACAACTCAAAACCTTTCAGTAAAAAAAATCAGAAAAATACTTTAGAAGCCTCTGAACCTTTACACATTCAATCCTCCACAATGAGCCCTGCCTATCCATATGGCAAATATTATTTCTTCAACACTTACTTCTTAGTGCTTCTTCTCAGAATGTTTCCATGATCCTCACACCCAGAGAGAAGGTCCTGTGTTCCATGCTCATCCACACGATTGGTTTTCATTTTTAGCCTGTTGCACGCTGTGTTTCCTTTGCCTATTTACTTCACTAGCTCAGGGGTACCATAAGGTAGGCTCAGTGCCTTTTCGCCTGCTTATTAGCATATCTATTATAGCCAGCATCTGTTTGTAACTGGTACGTATGCCGCACCATATTTGCTAATTATTTTGAGCAGCATTTATGGATACATCTAGTTTTTAGGATTGTGTTTGAGCATAAGATATTTTAGAGGTAAACAGTATAGAATGTTTTTGAAATGACTTATTAATTAGATTATTAGAGCCCTTCATTGCCATCAGTTATTTCCTAATCTGTTCCTCCAGCTGGTCTGCGAGTGTTCATTGAGCATAAGCACTGTGCTTTCCTTGCCACG